CTTGCATGTCAACTGTTGACATGCCATCGTGGATGGGGAAAATCTCAGAGGGACCCACCTCTAGGTTAACTACAGGCCATCTAAAGGCAAGAGAGAGAATCTGTCTTCTCAAGGGATGTACCCCTGATAGGTTATCCAGTCCCAGGAGGTAAGCCTTTTACATATTCATTTCCCGTTGAGCGACACTACATGGACTTTAAGATTGGTGTGTGTTATGTGTGTGTATCTCAATAATAATTCGAGAGGTCATGATTTCGAGAGGGAGTGGGGCACATGGGAAGAGCTGAAGGGGATAGAGGTAGAGCTAGAAAAAATATGAATACAGTATTCATTTAAGAGAATCTATCTTAAAATCCTTTGTAATGTTAAATTGTAAACATTTATATGAATTTTGGAGGATCTGAAGGTGCTTGTTTTTCTGTAGACCCTTTGAGGGACACCAGATGAAAACATTACTTGTTCCCAGATTCCTTTCTCATTTTTGTTTTTGGTGCCTAAACTGTTTGCCTTTGGTTTCTGCCTTTTGGATTATGTTAAGGGTGGACAGCCAAAGAGATGTCAATCTCTTGACCTTATTAGCTTCAGTTACTTATTAAAGTCTGTCTGCCCAGCAGGAACAAATACATTCAAAAGAGATACATGTGTCCTCCTCTTTGGTTATCAGACTATTGAAAGGAATGGATCACCCACTAAATAGAATTTCTCCAGGAATCTCTTGCTGGGGGAAGAAATGTCTCTTGTCCTGGGGGCAAGCAAAGGAGTTTTGTCAGCCAGAAAAGAAACTTATATCTTGGGGAAAGACTTACAACTTGTTAGAGGACGATGCAGGGGGATCCTAACTTTGCAGGAGGGCCTAGAGCTGAGACAGTGATGAGCAGGACCTCACCTTTTCAGGACTGCTTTGCTTGCCTTCTGAATCTCTTCATCCCTCTTCCCCACATTGAATAAGCCCCTGCATTGCTTTTCACTATTGATTTGGTTCTTTCAATTGACATATCAAGGATGCTTAGCTGAATCTGGTTTGCTAGGCACACATTACATGTGACCATAAGCCTAGGGGCAGTCTGACAAGTGGGGCAGCAGGTGGCTAACTGTAGATGGGGGCACTCTTGGGAGCCCAATGAAGAAACCTCTTCATTGTGATAGAAAAGTAAAATATGTTTTTAAAGCCAGAAACATTCAAAAACAGAAAATTCTGAATCACAATTTCAGAGAAAGGCCACAAGTTCAGGCCCTTCCTGAGCTGTGGAGTAGGTTTAAGGCCAGCCTGGGCAACTTAAGACCCTCTTTCAAAGAAGACTTTTAAAAAGACCAGGGATACAGCTCAGCGGCAGAATGCCTACCTAGCAGTGTAAGATCCTAGATCGAATCCTTAGTATCATAAGAATGAAAACAAAAACCAAAGCTAAAGCAAACAAACCCAGTTCTATGATTTTTTAGGCTATCAGGGACAGCTCTGATCTGCCGTAGCCATCTGTCAGTTAGCCAGGGCAGGATCCAAACAGGTGCATCCTAGAGACATTACAATGAGGTACAGGGTGTTTAGGACAACTTAAGCTAATAGGCAGTGTATACAAGATGCAAAAGTGGAAACTGGAGTGTTTGAGTTCTGAAACATCCTTCTTCCTCCTTGGATGAAGCACTTACGAGTTGGAATCACATGCCCCTGGCTTGAACTGCTACCTTTCTTGTTAGTGATGTGGCTTTTGACATGTTACTAGCTGAATCTCATTTTTTGTTTATCTTCAATACAGACTATTCCTACCTTTAGGCTCATTGTGAAGGAGTCCAGCTTAACACTCAGACTACAGTAGGTAGGGATTCAATACACGAGGTATAACAACCTGGAATAAACCTACTCTCCCTACTTGTAATTATTTCTACACTTTCTTCATTTTAAATTTTTTGGAAACAAGGTATCCTGTAACTCAGGTTAGCCTTGTAATCTGTAGGCATCCTCCCCCCTTCCCCACCCACCTCTCCTGATGTCGGGGGGTCGGAGGGCTTACAGGAATGCACCATAAAGCCCTGCTTATGGTGACATGATGAATCATGTGACTTTCTGGCCCATTTAATGATGCTACATGTCCCTGTTTAACTATGGCTCCTGGGCAGGAGTGTGTGTGTTTGTGCATGTATGCATAGGCACATCTATGTGTGTGTCTGTATATTTCTTGATTTTATCAGTAGGACACAGAGAACCTACAGGACTGGAAGCTGACTCATGACCATTAAGCTGATGAACTGGATTTTAGTTTTGTGAGATGGCTGAAGCCAGAAACACAGGCTGTTGCTTTCCAACTGTCCTCACTTGAAGACCAGGACCTGGGAGGTTTGGGGCAGTTCCTTCTAGCAAACACAGCTCTGGAGTCACTTTTTTTTTTGTGTGTGTGTGTACTTTATTTGCAATTAATCATTCATTCTTGAAATATTTTAGAATAGATTAAAACCAGTACATAAAATAAATCTTCACTATATTTGGTACATATGGCACAGAATAACATAACACTTTATAAATATGTTTCATCAGTGCACAAAATGGGAGAAGAACCCTTTTGCTAAAAGCAGCCCAGTAGCTATTTGACTGGACTACAGTAGCATTTTTCAAAACTGACCATGAGATGGCGCTGTGGCCCAATAGATTATGTAAGCTTTAACTGAGTTTTTCTTTATGGCGTTGAATCCCTTAAGTCTAGAAGACTCTTATCAATCAACTTAAAGAAGAGTGAAGCTTGTTACTCTTTTAATAGTATTGGCTAGAAGTGAATCCTTTCATCATGGATCCATAAATCGTTCAATGGTTAATTTTTCTCCCCTGCTGGGGAGAGGCATGTATCTAAGAAGCCATAGACGTCAAGAAGTACCAGACTAAAGAGAGGCCTAAAGTTACCATTCAACTTCAGGTTAATAAACTGAATACAGACTATTGTTTTCAACACCCTGATAGAATTGTGTTAAAATCTTTCCTTACATTTAAAGCAACTTCCAGTTTTTTTAAAGTGTATCTCTGTTACACAGTAACCTCCTTTGGCAGTCATGGAAGGTCATAGGAATATTAGAACATGAATTCACATTTAGATCAACATGATTCAAACATGCACATGTGTATGTTTTCACCACTTGCTTTTCTTCATATAAATATATAAATATTGAATAAAGTGCACGGGAACATGTCTGTACATATATACAGGTACACGTTTTCTTATATACATTTTAAGAGATACTTACAAAGAGAGAAAAGCCACATACACACTGGTAATATATGTGCAGTCAAAAGACATCTTTCAGCAGGGCTTATGTTCATTCTATGAAGATTAAGTTCATGGGATAGAATCTGTAATCTTTTCCTTAATACGTATTGCCATGTGCAGAGTTTTAAACTAAGGCAAAACACATTAGAGCAGACAGCTTAACATTTCTATTTTTATTAGTCAGTATGGTCTAATCATTAAGGATTAACTTCTTTCAAATACAACCTTGGGACTAGTAACACATAAATTTTAGGTCTGAAGCAATGACCATCATTCAAAGTGTCTTTAAAGACATATTTAGGAAAACCTTAATTTCCAACTTATATAATGAAGCTTTCTACATTCTTTAATTCTGAAACCTGTAACACTTCCCAAGGGCTTGCAGCAAAACATCTTTGTATCCAATAAGAATGCTTCAGCATTTTACGCTGTATCTATCATCTGTTTCAACAATAATGTGCACTTCACCTGTGTATCACAGTGTCATGGTGGATTTACTATAGCTGGCCTTTGTTAGTCTGGAGTAGCCATTTCTACAAAACATTATGGTAACTGATATTTGTTTTTTAATTGGAAGCTAGTGTCAGTCAGAGCAAAATGAATGTAGTTTTAGAGGGAAGGAACAAAAATACTGCTTTAAATCTTGGTATTTATGAACTGGATCTAATTTGTGGTGTTTATTTTTATGCATTACGTGCAATCTTTGATTCAATTGATATTTTTCCATTTCCTTGTTTGCTTGGCAAATATCTATAACCAATGGGAAATACTGAAAAAAAATTCTCAAGAGTTGATACAAACCCGTTCCTGAATCAGGTAAGAAAGAAATTGAACTGGTTGATTCTCAAAATGAATCTATATACTTTTAAAATAACAACCGATTAAGTTGTCGTTTTTAATGCAAAAATCTTATATATTTATTTTTATATCCTTAATAACTAAGAAACTGCTCCACTCATAAGATACAGTCAACAGATCACTGTGGAACCAAGCTTACCTGTTTTTATAAATAATATAAATACATTAATCTAAAAGTATCATTTAAAAAACCCTATATTTATTTATTTAGTTTGGAGACAGGGTCTCATGCAGTCCACGTTGGCCTCATACTAGATGAATAGCTGAGAATGACTGAATCCTGATCCTCTCGCCTGCGCTTCCCAAGCGCTAGGATTACAGCCATGCACCATGGTGCCTGGTTATGCAGTGCTGGGAATCCCACCTAGGATTTCCTGCATGCTCGGCAAACACTTTTATCAAGGGACCTACATCCCCAGCTCTTTGAAAACATCAGTTTTACCTGATAACTGTCAATATGAAAGCCACTTGATTTTTACAGAAAGAGCCTAAGAAGCTACTGCTAACAGTGAGAAACCTGAGTTTATTGTTCAGCTGTGACAGACAACTCTTTGTACTGGTCACTGCTCAAAGGGCGCATGCGCAACATGGTTGTTCCCTAGTGAGTTACCGAATACCTTCAGGATGCTGTTTCTTTGAAGCGAGTTCAAGAACTGTACTTGGAAAAGTGGAATTATCCTTTGACAGTTTATAGAGAAGAAAAATATACGAAACAAGACCACATTGCAAATTCAGGTAAAGCCCAAGAAGTAGAAGAGAAAGCAGCGTGTTATTGAATAACGTTTAAAACCCTTCCACATCTGAGAATTAATGACAAATGCAGCAAATGCCAGCGGTCTTGTGAACATTTCAAAATGGCATCTATGAAAAATCAAGAATGAAAAATATTGTCAAGTATTTCAATGAATTATATTAGCAATACAAATGTCATAATACTGTCTATTTTTCTTTTCAAAATATATGTCGTGGTGAATTTGAAACATTTTTTTAAAGAGACTACTCATTATTTTCAGTATTTCTAGCTATTTTTATATACAATAATAGGTCACCGACTCCCATGCTACCCATCAACAACATGGCAGCCAGGTTTCTATTTGGCAATAGAAGTTAATTAGATGGATTTTATGCCTCGTTACAATTGTACAATAAAGGCCAATGATTTTAGAGATCTCATTGGCAATGTTAAAAGCATAGTACCACTCCTAGCTCAAATGCTGTCAGGACATTATAGTTGGTCCACTGGAGTAGTCTCATTTAGCCCAGCCCCCTTATCCCCGTCTCCACACACATGGGTATAAACTTGTTCACATGGGCAATTGTCCCAACGTCCTGTCCATCACACACAACTAACCTTTTCATTCACGGTTTCAATATTGTCTGTACCAGTCTCTTCTGAGTGTTGCTTCCCTAGTGTAACCATGGAGCAGTCATTACCTGTCTTCTCAGCATCTTCCTGCGTGTTCTTTTTTTGTCCCACCTGGAGCTGACTAGACTTGTAGGCCAGCGTTGGTATAGTGTTCACTAAAATTAACTGCAGGGGCTTTCTGTTTTCCTTGTACTGACACTGAATGTACCGTGAGAAGGCGGACCTATAAGTCTTATTGAACAATGTATACACCAGTGGATTGACAGCTGAGGAGAGATAACCAATCCAGACAAACACATTGAGCAGGCCTCCAATGACATTTTCATTGCACGATTCTTTGCAGATGACGGCCATGATGTTGGTGATGAAGAACGGGCACCACATTACAACAAACAGGAAGAACACGATGCCCAGCACCTTGCAGGCTTTTTGCTCATTGCTGATGGACTGCATCGTCCTGCGGCCTGCGTAGGAGCCTGGCTCCCTGTGGATGGACCGTTGGAAGAGCTTTTCCGATGACAGAGAACTCTGAGGGAGGAAGCTGAAGGAAGCAAGTTTGGCTCGAGTGCTGAGGTCACTCACACACAGGGTGGCTTCTTTCTGAAGTGACTTGATAGTCAGGAAGTAGGTGATCACCATGATGGTTAGGGGGATGAAAAATGCCACAAAAGAGCCGATGAGGACAAAGTTGTCATCGGCGAGCAGGCAGCTTCCCTCCTTAAAGACCTTCGAATCATCTTGTAGTCCAAAGACGGGGATTGGCATGGATATACCTGGAAGAAGACAGAAAGCGAGACAGGTCACCAAGGGACTGAGTATATAAAGGTGAAAGCATCACCACGTAACACTGGCTGGCCAAGGAACTGATGCCGGCTTACTTTAAGAGTTTATATATTACTGCAATGAAAGTTGGGTTAATTCTTAGTCTATATTTTTTTCTGATTATATTTTACTTATTAAGCGGAGAAAACACACGCAGAGGCAAAATGAAGCCAATAAAAGTGATCACTAACACCATCATCTAGAGATCAACAGAATAATGGCAAGGACAGTCTAATGCTGTTTGTTTTGAGCAAGTGTCACAGACATGATGCATGCAGGAACACACGCACACACGCATGCACCCACACATGCACTGGGCAACAGGACGAGGTTCTACTTTATCTACATTTTTCTTTTTTAAACTTTCCACTTCACACTATACTATCAGCATTTCTTACTTCTTTTGTAAACTTAGAAACCTAACATAGTTGCTTTCTAGCAAATTTGAAAAGTATAAAAAGATAACAGAGAGTAAAGGAAAATTGCACTTATTCTCACCACCAAGGTGCTTGCGTTACTTCTGTTTGCACAGAACTTTATGTACTGTTTAAGATCTTCCTATCTCATTTAATATTTATTATAAAACTTTTGATCGATCCTGCTTCAGCCTCTTTAGTCATGAGCTACCATGGCCAGTTTTAAGGTTGGACATACTTTAAACTACCTTTTAAAAACATTTTCCAATATTAATTTCAAGTACCTCAAATGAACTTAGGTTAGCTTTAAAAACTTTTTATTTCAGAGAAATTTTAACATCTGCAACCCCCCCAAAAAGGACATAGGCAAATGGCATCCCCAGGAAGTCTCTTAGCTTTCACAATTGTAAATTCAAGACAAATATTGTGTCTTCCAGGGTCCTTACCTGGGAACCTCCTTATTTTGAAGCAAACCTCAGACATCATATGATTAAACATGTACACATCTTATTATGTAGATCTAAAAGTGACACATTTTCAGAGAAACCCACAGCCACAGACAGGCTTTCTCTTAAAGTAGAGTTTAGTGTTCCCTTCATATCATGAAATATAGAATTTGCGTTCAGTCTTCCATTGTTCCATAGAAGTCATATATTTTGATAGCAGAACATCCATGAGGATGAATTGCCAAAATCAAGGCGGCTGCAGACCTTTATGGTCTAATGTATGACTTAGATTCAGAATGCTAAAGTACATGGCAAGATGAGCTGACAGCTGGCCAGTTGCTGTATATCCAGATTGGGGCGTCTCTAACGGACCTCCAGGTCGACGGCTCAGACAGTAGAGTATAGCAATGAAGAAATGTCACAGTTGGCTCTAATCATGCTAATTTCTCTCCAAGGTGATTGGACCCTACTAAGTGAAGTTTAGCTTGACCACGATGTGAGGTTTTATTCCCTTTTAGGAGCTATGGAGGTTTGAGGGAGTCTGGTTAGGCCAAAGCAATCATGGTATACTTCTTATTCTGTTATTTTCTCTGACACAGAGGCAGAATCCGGTGGCTGAGAAAGGAGCTTAGTTCAAGCTTGCTTCTTTCATCAAAGGATGCTCTGAGAAAAGCTGTTTCCTGTCCACACTGGCCTGTATTTCTGGTTTCCTGAGATGCATGACAGGGCTCCCTTGGTTGTACTTCCAGCCACTCTGTAGCCCAAGATGCTACTCTCAGGCTTGCTCATCCCAGTCAGGGGCCGCCGGTTAGCCCTTGCCTTGCCATCCAGCAGGAAAGTAGTTTCCTTTGAGGATGTATAACACAAACAGTGTGCATCCAGTGGTGGCGGCAGCAGCAGCAGCAGCAGCAACAAAAACGAGAAGAAAAAAATAGCCAAGTTCTTCATGGTCAGAACAGAGTTTGACTATCTGCAAACTCAGGGGGTGACTGTCCTAACATCTGGCTGGTAGAAGGGACGACAGCAGGATCTTAGTGTAATATTTGGTAAGAATGTCTCTCTGCTCCCGGGCCGCTCACGTGGCCATTATCTAGGCCCATGTGACTAAAATCTTCAACCACCTCTCCACCTTTTATTTTGAGACAGGGCCTCTCTCAGAACCATTTCAGCTAGACTAGATAGCCAGTAAGTCCCCAGATTTGTCTGTCTTTGTCCTGCCTCTCCCTCTTGCTGCCATGCCCAAGTTTTTGCATGAGTGCTTAGGATTCAAACTTGGGTCCTCAGGCTTACCTGGAATGTACTTTGCCCCGAGTTGTTTTCCCAGCCTGACACCTCTCTTTCTGAGTGTCATTCGACCATAACTCAAAAGGATAACATTTGTCTCTTGTCTATGCAAGGTCATCCCAGTTCTTGGTGCTTTTTTTGTTTTGTTTTGGAAGGTAAACATAAATGACATTATTCCTGTGTGTACATGCCACATTGCTGAGAACATCTTCGAGCTAAAAGCTGTGACCATAAAGGAGCCATCCTCCGAGACCCTCTGATGTCACATCAAATTTCAGGAACTTCAGAAGATTAATCATAAAAGATAGCCTCTGATTTCTAAGAAGAGTGCTTTCTTTTTCTGCCAATTTTGAACTGATGTCTTCGAGAGATGCTTCTTATATTCATCCAGTCTTATTATACAGATGCCTTGCTTACTTGGTCAGAAGGCGTACACTGAACATCTATTTCAGATGGACTTAGATGTGAGTTATAGCTATGGCTCTGGGGTGATGGATGCTCAGTTCTTCTATGAGATGAGGCTGGTGCCAACACGCCTTCATGGATGGAGTGAAGATAAAATGGATCAAACATGCAGAACACCAGCATGGTGCCTGAATCAATCGAGATAGAATAACAAATGGCAAAGCAGGTGGGAATAATTTTTGTGTGTAGAATTATTCAGAAAGATGATTATCAACATTATTTTGTCCTAATCTATTTTTGCTCAGTTTTTCTATGCTAGCCTTTATATAATAGAGTTCATAAACCATAAGAAGCAAAATAGTGCTTTGACTGTTCACTATTGGCTATGCAATGATGATGTAATTATTAGCCTCTGCCAGGGTCATGGGAGGTCTCAATCAATTTTAATTCGGTACAGCTAGCACTGTTGATTACTTTTCTAATGTGATGGATTACAGCCATTACTATTAGTCATGATGCATATAAACAAAATATCAACTGTCCAAAGAGGTGTATGATTTTGTTATTAGACTCTTGGGTGTTCATTTTCTTGATTAATATAAAGGAAGTTCTTACCTTGAAAGCCTTTTTTTTTTTTTTTTTGCCTGTTATTTATGACCTGGTAATGAGTGGCCACTTTCACTGAACCAGAATGTAAGATAGGCAAAAATAGCCAATCATTCAATCATTTGGACTTTGTAACTGTGTCTTGGGTTGGGAAAACACACACACTATAAACTCCCTGTGGGATATTTTGATTTCAGCAGCCGTGATGGAACCACTCACACGAACACAGATTCTCCCTCTAAAATGTCTGGGAAAAAGGCTTGCCTGACAAGAGGATATACTGGCATGTTATAGGCAGGATTGTTTTGTGCTTGGAGAGGACACGTTGATTTGGATTGGGGAGAATCAAGTTCATGGGTCTTTAAATGGCTAAAAAAAGGATTCCAGCTACTGCTGCATACCATTTGTTTTCAGTGTTTCTTCCTGAGTGTGACCAGCAAATATGTGTAAAAAGACTGGTCAGAAAGGTTAAAGCAGCACTCTAGAAAGGAGAAGAAACTTTCACCAAGGAACAAAGGCATCTACATAGGCTTTGTGTGTGCACTGAGGGGCTCAGAAGCATCCTCCTGCCAAGAGAAATGAAGAGTGCTGGCTGATAGCCAAGAGTACGGCTGCAGTCATCTCAAGGGCATTCATTTTCTGGCTGCTTTCTTTGGTAATAGTGGCTTTTGGAGACCTGACATCTTCTCTCACTTGAGATTTCTGCATATTAAGCATTTTGCTTTATGAACAAACAGACTGTAGCTTGAACTACGTTATTCTGCATTTTGTTTAATAATTTATTTTCCCTGAGGAGTAGGAAACAGCAATCAAAATGGACTAAAGGAATTAGAACTTCTGTGCACATTTCTTATTTCGCTGCATTAGAATTCAGACAGTGAAGTGAACAACGAGGAATCACGGACACTAAGAGTGCAAAGGTTTTGGTGGGCGTTCCCTTTGAGCTCAGCTCTCTGCTTGCTTTGCCTATAAAGTTCGCCAATCTAGTTAGCATCTTACCATGGGCTAAAGGATCTTGATTCTGAATTACCAGCTATGACAGACAGGCTCTCCTTGTAATCTACACTTTCGTGATTTAGAATCTTGGAACTAATGGTTCTTTTATGGCAAGTACTTGCCTTTTGAGTCAATAAGTTTGAAGTATTAAGTAGCAAGGGTCTCATGAGAAATGAAACACTGAGAGTTGGTATATGGGGGAGGGGAGGCTTTCAGCAGATAGAGAGCGGAGAAGATGGAAACATATTTCAGGACCCTGAGGAAAGTTTTGAGTCGCAGATTTCAAGTTCCCTCAGATTGTTACCTTTCCTTTGCATTTGAGCATTTGCCTTACAAAATAGCGTAAGAGGAGGATTTGCTAGCAGTTTGACAGAAAGCATCATATAAGTCAATGCTGCAGGATAATCCTCATGCTGCAGGGAAAGAGAAATTAAAGGAAAAATTCAGTGGTAATTAACAAGGTTGATTGGTAAAAGTTTTCAGAAAACCTAAAGGAAATTAAAGGAAAGAGAAATTAAAATGGGAAAACTGGAACTGGAAATGGCATTCGTCAACCTGCCAGCTCCAATACATGGCAACACTTCAAGACATGTTACACACATGTATTCACTCTACACTGAGTTTTTTACAGATTGAGTAAGCGTTACCCAGACTACTCTAAGGGCTGATAAGAATTTCACCATATGGAGAGGAAAATTGGCCCTAGCAAGCTTACGAAACTTATTTAGAATTGCACAGAAATTTAGGGACAAAACTAAGACATACTAGCTTCTTAATTTTTATGGCTGATATTTAAAA